TATATAAAGGAAAATAATTAAGTTTAAAAAAAAAGTGCAGGTTACAAAGAAGTCGTATAAATATTTTGCCTGTTTTTCTACGCCAAAATAATGTCTAATGTTGCCACCTGAAAAAAATTACCATTGAAAGTAAAATAGAAATTTATTTAATTGAAAAAAATATTTCTTTTTTTTAATATTAAAAAAAAAATTTAAACTGATTTTAAAAGAAAACTTGATCATTTTATGGGAAGTTGAAATGAGTAGCGCTTCAAGAAGTCAAATTTTTCCTCTTCTTTTTTACAGATATGAGTCACTTATATAAAAGAAAATAATTAAGTTTAAAAAAAAAGTGCAGTAAAAAGTATAAACAAAAAACTTTCAAATGTACAAATAGTAATGAGTAGAAAGCGTTTTAAAAGGAACGTTTATTCACAAACACCAAAGATAAACTGTCACTCATATAAACAAAATACGGCTGCAAAAGTTTGAATCTTGAATGCAGTACTGCCATCTATTGGCAAGCATAATATATAGAATCGTGCACCTGTATTTTTCAGTCCCCCCTCCCTATAATTTCATGTGAGGATGCATCAGTTTTATTTTACTGAATTTCAAGATTAAAACGTCTTTCAAATTCTTATTCCAACAACACCTTTATTCTATGGAACCTCACAAGATCAAATTCTCTCAATTTTTTCAGAGAATAATTCCTTAATCCTACTTAACTGCCAATTATAGCATTTACATTGTATCCTCGCAATTTTAAAAATGGAAAATTCATTATTATTTATTTTTTAAATGGGAGTTCTTGAAAACATAACTGATCTTAATTTGAGCAAGTATTCTTTACCAAACTTTTTCAAAAAAAAAAAAAAAAAAAAAAAAAAAAAAGAAAAGAAATCTGATATTAACTGTTTATGTTTCTTAATTATAATCAACTGAGATTTTGTGAATTTCACTTTAGATTTAGGTGAAGATAAACCATTGAATATAGATCCAATTATACAATGAGATGGTGAGAAAGGATTTGGGTAATTTATTCATTATATACATAGGTTATAAGCTTGGAATCAATGATCGCTTCAATTGCAACTGAAACAATTATATAGTTCTTATGCAGATTTTACTAACAGTTACCCAAATCTTTCCCAATGAAAGGAACCTTCTACAATAAATTTCTATTCGATCTCATTTTTCTCCAGAAAATTTAGAACTCATTTACCTTTACACAGTTTATCTAAATATTTGAATTAACGATTTGGAGTTAGAATCAACATTTTCAGCGTAAATAACTGTATTTACTTTCTTGAACATTTTCACGAACATTGTATCGAGATACAAATATCTTTTAAAATATTTATTCAGAAGCCATTACAAGATGTCCTCGATGCATCGCTATTTAAAATACATAGCACTTGAAAGTAAGTGAAATCTGTACATAATTACTGTATTTTTTCAAAAATATGGCTTCTAATATTCCCGCATGCATCTAAACTTGAATTCAAGCTTAAAATTGGATATTTTTTTGTTTTTGTCCTTCTCAGGATACACAGTTACTTTTAGGATATGTTTTCGTAAAAAAATTTAATGTTTTTAAAGTTTATTTTGACAAGAGCTTCTTAGAATGTTAAAAATTGTTCTATTGAATGTTAAAAATTGTTCTATGCTACCAGAATTGTTTGATAAAATAAACATGTAATAAAATGCTGGTACTATTAAACGTAAAGGTGTTACACAACATCACGTTACATTATACAAAAGATTATTTTAAGCAAAATAGCCAGAACTTAGAGGTAATAAAAGGAAAAGAGAAAAGCATTAAAATGTGTCATATCTTCGTCGTACACTGCGCGCTAAAAAAAAAAAAAAAAAAAAAAAAAAATCTGATGTATGCACCACATGACTTCCTCGTACGGAATATTAAATTATACGCATTTTTTCATGCATTTCATTTAAACTTATTGGATTGAATGAAATTTACTTGGCCGACAGCGCATAAATCACAATAGAATAAATGCATTCTTTAAAATTCACTCTAGTATTTGTTTACCATAGCGACACTCTGGCGCTAGATTCACTTAACAGTATTATATTTCGTTCATATTATAACTCAAAATGCACAAAATTTATGTCATTTAAAGAATAGAATTATCTAATCGTTGCCACATATTCTATTCAAATACTATAATAAAGCTAGAATGATGTATAAAAGAAATTAAGCAAACAAAACAAAAAAGAAACAGTTTTTCACAGACGATTGAGTATTTCTCATTCAATTAATTCAGTTCTCACTTCGCGAGAAGGCAAAAATACATAAAAACTCAAAATATCTATATTAAAAATTACGAAGTAAATCTTAAACACTTATTTCCTCGAAATAATTTCAGAAAGGATTAAGCATGATTTAATTGGCAATAATAAATGAAAGCGTTATCTTTGTTGTTGCGAAGCTAAGTTTCTCTAGATTGGCAACAAATCCACTAGTCTGCTGTTTCAAATGTAAACAATCAATAGCCGCCATAAAAAAAAAAAAAAAAAAAAAAAAAAAAAAAAAAAGGCTTATTGGCACTTAAACAAACTTTAAAAACAAAATTTAAAATTGTTGATAATTCTAAAAATATTGCATACAGATTTACTAAAGGCATAAAAACCTTAACCGGAAGGTAAAAACAACATAATTCAATCATTTTTAAAGCAAAAAATGTACAATTTGCAAACATATAAGAGTAAAGAAACTGAGATCACTGAGCCGGGTAACAGAGTGGATATAATACGTTTGGTGCGGCCAATTGCAATCAAAATACGAGGTGCACATCTACATGTTATAGCAGACCTATATACAAAATTTCAACGTTCTGAAGCTACTCGTTTTTGAGTTATGCGAGAAACGTACGTACGTTTGTACAGATGCCACAAAAAATTCTCTTCAGAATTAATTTTAAAGCAGTTTTATAATTTTTGTGGAGGAAACGAGTCTTTTATTCTGTCCTTACGTACAGATATTACGCAAAAACATCGTTAAATTGCATTCGATAGCGGTCAAAATGGATATTTTCGTTGAAATATGCAGCCTGAAACTTTTCGTGATTACAATACTTCCTTTTTACTTCGTACAAGGAAGTAAAAAGGGACTTCTATATATTCCGTTCTACTGGGGCCGATTAACGAAATTCAACTTGCATTTTTCATGTCTCGAAAGCGCTAGTTAGGATATGTATTGTATTTATTAGGTATTTTGACAAAAAATCGGACTTTTTCTGACATGACATGCCAATCTTTTTTCCAAATTTCAATTATACGGTTCAAATTGTGTTAAACTACCAAGTTTTGTAAAAATTGCATGAGCAATTTTTGAAATATTAGCTTCTCAATGTTAATTGAGCTTCATATATATTATTTAAATCTCTTTTTTTTATTAAATTGACGTGATTTCTTCTTCCAGAATTCTAAATTTAGGCTTAATCCGAATATAATTCTCCCATTTTTTATGATTTATTTTTAAATATATTTATAAATTTTTCAAAAAAAATGTTTGTATCATAACTTATAAAATTTTTAACATCATCTTAAAACAGATGCATATCTAGGCACACCTACAAAAAATTAGAGTTTTTTCTTAACAATTTCATAAGATATATGTGAATTTACATATTGGCATGCTTTGAAATTTGGCATATTCGTTACAAGCGATAATAACGCCAAATGTAGTTCACGCACTATGTTAAAATTATTTGGAAGTAATTAACATTTTTTCTCCGCTCGTTTACATTATTCTAGGTTGCTATACATTAAGAAGTTCGCCAAGGGAATTATTCTTGGCGCAAAATGAAAACAAAAACAAAAACAAAAAAAAAAAAAAAAAAAAAAATGCGCCGAGATAAATGTTTAAATTTTTCCGTAAATTTCTCATCAAAAATTACAAAATTTAATATCTAAGCATAACTTGAGTCGTAGAATCAAAATATGCAAAAACAAAAGTGGTGTGTTATTTCAGTAAAGTCCGATTTTGTGTCAAAATACCTATGTTAGAACAATGCTATATATAAATCTAATATATATATATCCTAAATCGAGCTTTCGAGACATGGGAAACGTAACTTGAATTTCGTCAATCCGCCCAGTAGAACGGGAGATGATATAGAAACTTTTTTTTTTGGGGGGGGGGAGATCCATACTGATTATCATCGTATAAAGAGAAGTACTACTTTATCTGATTCGAAATTAAACTAAGAGTTTCTGTTTTACGATGCACTCATTTTTTGATGTAGAGTATACAACTACAAGTTTTAACAGGTGCTATTTAAATATTTCATCACGATTTACAAAATGCTAAATTTTTCTTGTACATGCCATATCCATTAGAAGTAGTCGGATTAATGATTAATGAAAGTTAAAGAATTATAAACCAGATAAAATATCATCCTACCAAGGCTTCGACTAGGAATTGCCGTCTAACCACCACAAGAACGTCAGTTAATTAGTTTAGTAAACCAAAGGGAGAGGAACGAACTATGACATCCAAAACATTCGTTTTCCTGTGATTCGAAGTACAGGCTGTACGAGTATAACATCAAATGTCTTTCTGTAGTCTTTCCTTGTTTGATTAAAGAACGATTTTTAGGGAGCTTTATCCCAACAGTCAGATGGATTCGAGCTGTCTGTGGAATATGATATGCGTTGCCAAAAATGTGTATTTAAATAATGAATGTTAATTAAAACTTTAGGCTTAACACACCCCTTTCGAATGCATTTGCAAAAAATATTCACTTCCAGTAAAGAGACTGGTTATCCTGGATCGGTCTCCAATTACCTCCGTGATTTGACCAATCACGCATTTTAATTAATATCTGGCTTCAAGATATATCCTGGATATTCTTTAAATAGTCACGGAATTTGTAAATATGTAATGTGCCTGGTAAGTCAATACCTATTTTTAAGGTGGAAGTATGCAATGTTATAACATTTAAAGATAACTATGACACATGACAAAAGTTTATTCATTACCGTTTATATTTCAGGAAACTGAAGATGCTCTGTTTCTTGCCAAGGAAGAGAGTTAAAACTGCGGGAAGGTACGAGGTGAGGAATTCCGTGAAGGTCCAGCGTTGGTGGAGAACTGAGACAGAAGAAAAGAAATACATATCTAGAAACCATTAAAACATTTTGAAACATTAGAAACATTTTGCTCCAAAACCATTAAAAGCTGCCACCATAAATTAATTAGAACGAGTTTTGTATTAGGTTTGCTCCATTCCAGTCGATCAACAACTTTACACTTCGAATAAAATATTACCCATCTATGGGTTATGTTTGAAACAGGTTCTTCAACGTTCATCCATCAGAAATCTAAAAAGTGATATAACACGACATGCCATTCATTTTTGCTGAAGAAGGATTTGAGGTCCAGTGGAGTAGTGAGCATAACTGGCGCCTGGGGCAAAATACCTTTTTGGCGCCCTCCCCCCCCAAAAAAAAAACACAGTGATATGATGAAAAGCTTGTCTGGAGACCATTTGGCGCCCCTCTGCGAGTGGCGCCCGGGGCATCATACACCCCCTTGCCCCCCTCGCTACGTCACTGTTGAGGTCCTGGTTTCTGAATCTCCCTTACATCTAGCATCTCTTTCCCGAGGACTGTGACAGCCGTATGGAATTTTTGCTTTGCAGATATCACGTTGGGATAAAAGGACAATAACCCCTATCTGTTTGACGGAAATGAGTCAGTAATTGTAAGGGTGGTTTTATAGAGTCATGAAACAATTTTCCACGTTGGTAGTTTTCTTAATAGACGCAACTGTCACGATTGAGTAACACAGATCCAAATTCTACCATTGAAAATGTGCTATCCAGCCGCAAAAGAAACAGTATGGTGTGTAATAGGCATCGACTCAAGAGAAGGGCCTTTATTTATTAAAGAACGCAATGAACAGTGGATGCCATCTGGATATGTTTAAGAATTTTGTGTTGACAACCATTAGTCAATAGAATAACGCTGCAGAGCTGGACAAAGCATCCCCTCCCACATTTTGCTGTAATTGTTTGCGAGTGGCTGGACATTATTTCCCGGAATACGGATCAAACTGACAAACAGAATGATTTGCTAGAAGTCCAAACCTTTCATCTTGTGATTATTCACAAGATGTTCGTGTGAGGTTGGGCCAAAGAGGTCTTCCTGTGAGGTTGGGCCAAAAAAAAAGTGTATAAGATTCGTTTGAGAACTTTGGATGAACGCAGTACCCGATTGATTTCGTAAAAAGAGAAACTACGACTACGACTATGACTCGTTATTATTTACGGAACTACTGCAAAAAGCAACTTTGCTGGTTCCTTGAACTAAAGCCGAAAGGTACATAATATAAAAGGTTCCGGGCATGGAAATTTCTAAGGAGAAAATCGGTGGCAAGGGAAAAAAAAGAAACTGCGGATTATTTATAATCAGCAAACTTCTAGCAGTGTATTTACAGTGCTGGTGGTTATGTTCAATTGTAGCGATATAACAGTCATTTTTTAATGGCACTATGGGAATAAAAGTAAAAAGGATGTCCGTAGCTAAACTTCATGTTATTTTTACATTCACAGAGCCTACCATGATCATTAAAACGGGTAGTGACTTTTCGGACACCGTATGACTGAAATTTATTAGTTCTGCTCCATATTATAATGAAAAATTCTTATTGTGGATCAGAAACACGTTGAATTATAAAGCAATCACGCTTTCTAGATATGCATTTTAGAAAGCTCAGGAAATCCACTTGATTTTTGAAATAATTTTTGGATTTCTATTTCAACTGTGTTTTGTGCTTGGAAACTGCACTCTGAAATTAAAGCATGTATCCATTGTATGTATGATACATACATATGTATCCAAAAGTACATAGGTATGCATCTTGTATAACTGAAAACTGATCAATCTCAGAACGTTGAAATTTTGTATATGGGACTGCTATGATATGTAATTGTGCACCACCTCTTTTGCTTGCAATGGGCTGCACGAAACGTGCATATATATATATATATATATAATATTGTATGATCTTAAATTCATTTAGTGCGAAAACAAGTTACTACTACTTGCGCAATTGCTGCAAAGTTAGTTAATAATAATTTATTTCCTAAACAATATTGATTAATTGATTATATTATCTCCTAAGTTTAATTAAAGTAGAATTATTTTAAAAGAGTGAATCCATACTGGTAAGTTATATTTTGAAAGATGTTTTGAAGTAACTTGAAAGTAAAATGTTAATAATGTTTTAACGGGGACTGGAATTTAAATCATCATGAAGAACAAAATTTCAATTGTAAAAGGAAAAATTAAATTAAAAACATGTAATCATTGTCATTGATCGGAAATTAGTTGACTTTTCAAGGGGAACAAACCAACTCCCGTTCAATGAACAATAACTAATAAAATTACGTAAATACGAAGGTGTTTCGTCTTTACTCGAGTTATAAGGTAAAGCCAAACCGGCAATTCTAGTCAAGCCAAATATTTCCGCGAATAGAAGGGATTACGAACCAATGCTGATACTCAAATGTTTATGCATTTGAGTTCTATATTAAGAACTTATTCTTATGAAGCATTTTACCCAATTCAATTTGGAGTAAAAACCAATTTCTGTAGAGAAATTCGAAAAGACTCGAGTAACTGTCCTCGACACCTTCATGTTTATGCATTTGAGTTCTATATTAATTGTAAAAATTAAACCTTGGAAATTGTCATTATGAAATAGAATTCAAAGTAAAGTTGAAGTAAACATAGAAGATTACAAAAGATAAATAATGCAAACTTTGTAAAAACAAATCAAAAATAATATAAAAATAATATAAAAAATATAATAAGAACAGTGAAGTACATGAAGATATAAAGGCCAGAAAAGGTATTAAGTAACTTACATTCTTTCTAGTGGGGAAGGCAAAGTGTTCTCTTCGTGTCTGACTCATAAGTGTAGGGTGTCCGAAAATTCTTAGCGCGGCAGTGAGGGCTTTCATATATAACCACTCTGTTATCTGGATCGTTTAGTCCAGATTTTTTAATCTTATATGTCGGAAAACTGTACATTTTTTGTTTTAAAGGGATTGAATCATGTTGTTTTTATGTTCCGGTTAAGGTTTAATGAATTTAATTAAAATTATCAACAATTTAAAAGTGGTGTTAAGTCTAGCAAGGCCGCCATTTGAATTAGTGAGTAGGATAGCGAATTAAGTGAGTTGGTGCCCCAACTTCATCGACTTTTCCCCCAATGGGACCAAAAGTAAACTTTCAGTTTTGTGCACCGAAAAATATATCCGGAATTACTTGCTTTTGCACAGAAATTCTGATTTTAATTGAAAAACGTTTTTTAGCTGCTTTGGATTGCATTTGTTGTTTTATGTTTTCGCGAATTTTAGAACTTTTAATGAACGTGCTTTGAATTATTACGTATTTTTGCCTTGCCGGGAAATGGAACAAATAGCTTTGATTGAATTAGAAATGTAGTATCTCTAATGAAATTCGAGGAAATAAGTGTAAATGAAGTACAGCTTAAAAAAAGTGTGTTTAATTTAATAGATCGTACAATTAAGTTATGTGATTTCACATCAGATTTTTTATTTATATTGGTAATGAGTGTAAAATATTTCGAAACTTAAGTAAAACGAATAGGGAACCGCATAATACATCGTAATTTGTCGAAATAGAATTTTTGTTTTAATTTTAAAAGGCAAAAGCATGAATATTTGCATTAGTTAAACTATTTTTGTAGCTGGAAGTACATTTCTACGGTCAGCGATTGGAGAATAAAGGGCGGAATAACTTTTGTGGACACAGCGTATATTTAATATTGATTTGATTTACTTTAATTAGCAAATGATTTGCCACCTTAAACTTGAAGAATCATTATGTTTTTGATGCAGGAGATGTGAAAAATGTGCAATGCCCTTGCCGGACTCGAAACCTAGACCTCTGGAACACGCGTCGAGTATGCATCCAATTACACCACGAAGGCATGCAGAAAGGAGGGAGAACATACCTTATAAACTGCTTGAAAATAAATTTAAATTATTAGCAATACTTATCTGTTCATGATAATCTAAGTTATTATGTATCCTTTCTTTTCTTCGTTTCTCTCTTTTAATTAATTAATTAATTAATTAATTTTAATTGCTCTTGAATCAACCATGATTTAGTGTTAACGAGTACGACCGAGAGTTGACTGTAAAAACACCATACTTAAAAGAAAATGTCCCCTCTTTTCCCAGTCTATTTTTGATCACGTTGCTTTAAGATAATAAGATAAAAATCCAGTCACTGAAGTCCTTTATAATTATTATGTAAAGTTTCATAAAGTCTTTGATAAAATTCTGTCATGCGCTAGCTTTGTGAAAATTGTTTAAGACGTTATTGTTAGAAATAATGCGGCATCGATTATAATTGGTAAAGTAAGCATAATTATTATAATACAGTAGAACACTGTTTATCCGACCTAATGACGACCGGGGCTAGCTCGGATAAGAAAAAACTCGAATAACACGAATTTATACATAGAAAATTTTGATACTGTACTCACGGTAGGGAATTTACTAATGTACAGGACTCATGCAGGTACATGGTTACATGAAGCATTATTTAAACATTAATTATCATAGCTTCGTTATCAGGATTGTGTAACTAAATTTATAATGGTCCTCCTCAGGCTCTTCAAATTGTTCATCATTTCGCATCCAATCGTAAACATCCCTCATTCGTTACAGTCTCCGGAACTTGCAGCTGGGTTTAAGGATAACCCTCTAATTCTTCATCGTCTGTTTTTTGAGTCATTCTTCTGTTATGGTCATTCGAAGCATTTTTCCAGCTTTTCTGAATGGTCGGCCATTTCACACCGTTCCACGCTTCTCTCAGTCAATAAATGACATTTATCAGATGAACCTGTTTATGGCTTTAACCAACTGTTTTGCTATTCCCTAGATCTGTAAATAATTGCTTCTTTAGCCTGTGTCGGTAACTTTTTTTAGGTTCAAGCTCCTATTTGAATTATTGCTAGAACACGAGTCTACAGATTGCTTACTTTTGAGCGAGGCTATTTTAACGGCGTTTTTTTCATTGTATTGGACTCAGATAATGCGAAACCTCAGTTAATCAAAATTCGGATAATTGGAGCTGTAATGTATTTGGAGTTAAATATTTATATACTATATCTCATACATTTTAAAACATTTGAATTGTCTCCTAACTTTCGAATGAGACGGATTGATAGTAACATAGAAAATTTTCTCAAATTAATATTACGACTTTATTATGAATAAAGAAAGTTTTGTACAACGTATATATTGTAGTGGTTCTGCACGCTGGGGTGGTATTCCAGAGGTCCGTGGTTTGATTCCCG